GACAGTCTCTCTCGACTCTGCCTGCGGCAGCGCGGCTTCCCGCTGTGTGGCCGGGTCTGCTGGTGGCCTTGGCCATCAGGTGCCTCCCAGGTCTCCTCCTGGCCCTAGTGCCAAAAGCGGGGGTCCAAAACCGCTGAGCCACTGGGGAGCTGCTCCCTGCACAGGGCGGCACCAGCTGCTCCTGGCTGAGACCCATGGACAAAAAAATGGGTGCGTGTGGGGTGGCTCACCCCAGTGAGACCCTGAAACAGCCCTCTGGCACCCCAGGCAGAGTAGCTCGTGTGCCTGCCTGGGAACAACCGAGCTCCATGGCTTGTTTTGGAGAGGGAACCTGCCTCATTTTCCCCAGGGAGGGGGCTGGCTGGCTGGCCCCACGCTGGCAACACCGGTACTGACTGAACCTGTGCTCCATTGTGTCAGCGCTGGGGGTGACAGAACCCGGACAGGCAGCCACAGGCGTAAGGGGTTGTGCGGCAAGATGCTATGCGTGGCGGGGCAGAGGGCTTGGGCTTTGCTGCCATGCCTGGGGCACCCTGGGCATGTTTTGGGAAGCACACAAGGGGGGATGTGGGGAGAGGTGCCCCCCAAGCTTCTCAGCACCAGCTTTGCTGCCCCATGCTGGGATGCTGGTGATTAGTTAGTCTACACTGGAGGGAAACTGAGGCACACTCCCAATAGCCACGGCACTGCAGGTGGTGTAAAACTTGCAGGTGTCATGGTGGAGGTGGTGGGGGCTTTGCCTTTCAGAATCTTCCCTAGCCTGTGGCTGGCACACTGCTGGCAGCTGCCTCACTGTCCCCACAGTGGCTGGGACTGTGACATCCTGGGGCCAAGCGATGCCTTGTTGCCGCTGTCTGCCAGGAGAAATTGCTGCGGCTGCCACGGTGGCGCAGCTGGGGGTGTTTCAGCTCTGGCCCCCCCACAGGAGGGGATGCCATCCCCACAGGTAGCCTTCCTGCCACCCACATGGCCCTGGAGCCAGGCAGAGCTGAGTGCCTGCGCCCCGCTGTAGTGCTGGCTCCAGCCCCTGCTGTGATAGTCCTGAGCCACTGTCATGGATCTGCCTCTTCTTCCTTCTCTGTGTCATCGTGTTCTCCTGCTCCTCACCATCGCGGGCTCCCCTACGCCACTCCTTGCCATCCTACCTGGTCCTTCTCAGCAAAAGCAATGATTGCAGCAAACCCAGAGCCTGTGCCTGTGTCCACTGCATGCAAACGGGTGTGGTGGAAGTGGCATTTGTGGCTGGATCCCACCTGGACGTGGGGCAGGGACTGCTAAGGAGGTAGTGTGTATGTGGATTTGGGGGTTGCAGCTGGACCCCCCTGAAAGGCCACACTCCCCTTACTGGCTGTGTTGCAGCCTGGGCTCGGGGCAGCTCTGGGCTCACCATCTCATCCGTGCGTTCTCGCGGCTGAGAGGCTGGGGAGGGGATGTGGTGGGTCCCTGGGTGCTGGCACTGGGGGCACCAGGGCTGTTTGAACCTGCACCGACACTCACAGGTAGCATGGGGACCAACCACAGCCAAACCCTGCACCAGTCCTGGGGGGAACAAAGCGTTGACAGGGAGTGATAAAGGCTTAACATGGCCCTTTCCGAACTCGGGGTTGCAAGCTATAAGAGAGCCGGGGACATCCCAGGGCACGGCCTGGGGGGCTTGGGGAGGGGTCAGGCATTTGGGGGAGTTGAGGCTCAGGGAGCACCCGAGGTGGGGTTTTGGCTTCTTTGTGACTTTGGAGGTTCCTGCTACTTCTGGTGCTCTGGCCATCTCTTTCGGGGCCGTAGGGCAGTGGCTTAATGCTGAGGCCAGGGGCCAGTGTGTTTGCAGGCTGCTGAGTGCCTGGGTGCCACCTTTTGCAGCACATGGGCTGGGCACAGGAGCGTGGACCCCTGAGGCTGCGGTTCTTTCATGGACCCTTAGTGCCTGGTGCTAATTCACCATTAAATGTGCCTTGTCGTTGTGTACTGGGATCTGATACAACCACTGTTGCGGCTAATTGCAGAGGAGCAGCTGAATGGGGCTGCCGGCGGTGTTTAAAGAAGATACAATCAAAGATTAGGCAGTGCCAGAGCATCTCTGCCACCCTGCTCAACACAGGCTCGCAGCCGCGTTGCAAACACTAATTAAGTGAGCCTTGTAAACACCGCTGTGAGGAGGGTAAATGTTGGCAGGTGCTGCAGATTGAGGAGGGCAGCGGATGGGTGGCAAGGCTGCGGGGACGCGCTGTGCTGCAAGGGGATGCTCTGCCTGCTGCGGGCTGCCCTCGGCCCCAGGTTGTCCCCTCCAGGGCCTGTGGGTGCCAGGCAGGGCTGGCTGCATCCCGGCTGGCTGCTCCCCAACCTAGAGGCTGCGGCTGCAGTGCCTGGGTAATGCCACCTCCAAGACGCAGTTCTGGTGGCTCTGGGGCATTGGAGTCCCCTCCAAGGTTGCTCTCCCAGCTCTAGCTCTGCCCTTGGCTTCCAGGGAGCTGCGGCAGGTCGAGGCTCTCCTGGGCGCTGCTTTGAAGATGGGGAGGAGGCGACTGGCAGTGGTGGCTCTGTGCCAGCGGAGACTTCCAACTGCCAGCACTGCTGTGCCCAGCAGCATCCACCCGAATCACGTAAAGTGCCCCATGCCCAGGGTGTGGTGGGCGATGGACATCATTTACCGTGCTACATCCGGCACAATGTGAACCCCAGAATGCACCATCGGTGCTCTGGGCACCGTTTAGCTCCTGGGGACCCAGGGGCTGGTGGCACTGTGGGGGGGTTGACTTTGGGGGTCCTGGGGGCTGTGGGAGCTCATGACTCTGTGGACTCTGCAGAAGAGCGTGAAGGAGGGGCTGTTGCTGAAGCAGACAAGCTCATTCCAGAGGTGGAAGAGGCGATACTTCAAGCTGCGGGGCAGGACACTCTATTATGCCAAGGACGCCAAGGTAGGCTGGGGGAGGCTTCCAGTACGCTCAGCTGGCAGGGCTTGAGCCTGCAAGCCTGAGGAGGAGCCCAAAATCCCTGTCTGGTGGACTGGGGCTCCGGTTTCTCCCCCGCAGTCCCTGATCTTCGACGAGGTGGACCTGTCCGATGCCAGTGTGGCTGAGACCAGCACCAAGAACATCAACAACAGTTTCACGGTGAGGGAGGTGTGGGGCTACCTGCTGAGCCCCTCCACCTCAGCACCTTGCAGGGAGGCACCGCAGACCCCTCCCCACAGAGCTGTGGGGCACCCCGCAGTGTGGCCTCATGCTGCTGGTGGTGGCACCAGTAGCGGTGTGCTGGGGGCTGCCCTCCTGGGGACTGGCCGCAGAATGGCCTCGCGAGGGGACACGGGGACGGTGGCTGTTGCAGGTGATCACACCATTCCGGAAGCTTATCCTATGTGCAGAGAACCGGAAGGAGATGGAGGACTGGATCAGTGCCCTGAAATCTGTCCAGAAGTGGGAGATCCATGAGGTGATGCAGGCAGGGGGCTGTGTGGGTGCTTGTCTGTGAGTGGGTGCCCCTCGGGAGCCAGGGGTGCCTTTGGCTGCCGGACAGGAGATGCTGTCCTTGGTGCAGCCCTGTGGGGAGGACAGGAGCCGGGAGTGGGGCTAGGGGGACTCAGGAGGGCTAGGAGGGAGGGAGTGCCAGCTGAGGGTCCCAGGGGACTGATGGGGCAGGGCTCTGCCCCCCAGCAGGCCACGCAGTTCAACATGGAACACTTCTCGGGCATGCACAACTGGTACGCTTGCTCCCACGCCCGCCCCACCTTCTGCAACGTCTGCCGTGAAGCCCTCCCGGGGGTCACCTCCCACGGCCTCTCCTGTGAAGGTCAGCGCTGGGGCCCTGCTGGGGGTGGGCTGGGGCTGGGACTAGGGTGGGGGACCCTCTCCAGTGCTGGCCTGGAGCAGGAGGGATGCAGGGTGATGCCCACTGGCTGCCAAAACCATCACCAGCCACGGAGGGGTTGGGGACCAGGGCTGTGCATCCTGTGGGGACCGTCCTTGCTCCTCACCTGCTCCTCCCTGCACAGTCTGCAAGTTCAAGGCACACAAGCGCTGCGCCGTCAGAGCCACCAACAACTGCAAGTGGACGACCCTGGCCTCCATCGGCACTGAAATCATTGAGGACGAGGATGGGGTAAGCAAGGGAGTTCCCGTGGGGGACCCTGGCAGGACAGAGCCAGCAGAGCTGGCCTTGCTGTGCCCAAATCAGAAGCAGGGGGAAACCTGGCACTCAGCTGTCCCCTGCACTGTGTGGCCTCTGGGCTTGGCTCTGCAGGGACATGACCTGGGGACACCTCCTCTGCCACCCAGCATCGGGATCCCTTATTGCTCTCCAAGTGGGGCCAACCCCTAAAAGTTTGCTGGGGACACCCCTGCCCTGCCCCGTGTGCTGGCGGCTGCAAGGGGCCGGTCAGGCAGGGATGAGAAGGCATGGGAGGGGTCCCAGGGCTACCTTGCTCTGCTGTGGGGCATCATCCCCTGCTCACCTCTTCCGTCGTGCCTGGGCAAGGGGGTGGCCCATGTCACTGTCCCTCAAGCGCGTGGGGGTGGCGGGGGTGATGTGCCATTAGCGACTGCCCCTCTCTGCAGGTGGCCATGCCTCACCAGTGGCTGGAGGGGAATCTGCCTGTCAGCGCACGCTGCGCCGTCTGCGATCGGACCTGTGGCAGCGTCCGGAGGCTGCAGGACTGGCGGTGTCTCTGGTGCAAGGCCATCGTAAGGCCATGTCCTGTCCCCCCCATCCCTGCGCAGACAGCACCGTTCGTCCTGGGTGCATTGCTGGGGAAACTGAGGCTGGAGGCTTTGCTGCTGCGTCCCCTATAGCTTTGCTTATGCGCATGTCCCTGTGTCCCCAGGTTCACAGCGCCTGCAAGGAGCTCTTTGGCAAGAGGTGCCCCCTGGGCCAGTACAAAGTGTCCATCATCCCGCCAACTGCCTTGAACAGCATCGATTCGGATGGTGAGTCACAGAGGGGACAGGACTGGACTGTGGGTGGGAGCGACAGGCTGTTTGGGACAGGGCTCTGAGCTCTTCTGCAGGCTTTGACTTGTGGTACTGTGCCCGCTTTCCTGCGGGGCACAAGGACCACCACCATCAGTAGGCTCCAGAGCCAATGCCCCTCCCTGCCGCACCCTTGATTGAAGGCTGCTCGTTGCCTTGCACTCTGTCCCAGGGCTGCGGTAGTGCCATGCTTTGGGGTGGCATTTCTTCCCCACGTGCAGCTTCAGTTGCTCCTGCCAGGCTGCCTCTTGCAAAGTGGCCCTGGTCGTGGTTCCTCTGTGCTGAAGTCAGCGGCGCCAGCCCTGACCTCGTGATGTGGGGTCCCCCCTGTTGCACCCCTATGGTTCAGCACCTTGCAGGGCAGGATGAGGCCCTTGCTTGGGTTATTTCTCAGTGTCTGAACCTCAGCTGGTTTTTTTGGTAGTGCAGAGCACAGCTTCCCCCTGGCATGGGTGGCTGTGGGATACTAGGGGGAGAAGCAATGTGTGGCGCGGGGGGGACCTCCCCACTTGTCTCACTCGCTCTCTCTGGAGGAGCCCAGCTGGCCTCTGCTGAACAAAATCTGTTCTTCTCCTCCAGATATTTCTTTCCTCGTTCTTTAATGATTTTCACCACTCGGCTCAGCCGGTGGCTCATCTGCTTCTTGTTACTCATCGGGATGCTGTCAGGGTAACCATCACGCAGCTTCTCCTCTGGCTTCAGAGCCGTGGCTGCTCACGGCCGGCTCCCTGGTAGTCTCTCTGC